AGGATTTAGGGTGCAGGTCAACGAATCAAAGTCTTCAGGGAGAAAAGATTAACTATACCTAAAACGCATTAAGAGAAAGACAGCATTAATATCGACAATAAGTAGGGCTTTTATAAGAGCAAGAGGCCTCTTATGTCACCTAAGGGCTCTCACAATGAAATGTGCGGTAACGTTGCGCCTTGAAGAGTACAAACTGGTTTCGAATTGTGTCGGTATTGCTAATGATACCAAAGAGAGATTGTAACTACAGCTTAGTCTAGTTGAGAAAGTTTTTGAAGAAGAGGTAAATTTAATGGCATAGTGAGAAGTGCTACTCATTTCATTGTAGGAAACTCAGCTATTAGGCTTTCCAGCAAATAAAGAGATTCACAGTGGCCATAGTTCTTGGACTGACCTTGTCTTGGTGAGCACGCCTTGTCGACCAATCCCGTAGGATTCCTCGTCTCGTACTGAGTAAAGGATAGTTGAAGGGGAGATCCAAGATCTGTTTGCGATGCTGCCTCACGAACCATTATGCTCCCATTGTTCTCATTATGCTTCTCTAGTTTAGAATAGCAACCTGCATCCACGGGTTTTGGGGCAATATCAGATGCCAACCAACATTTTCGAGGATTTCCAGAGGGCGTGGAAACATTAGCAGAAGATTGGTGAATATGTGAAAAGTAATCTTCACCTGCTGAGTGAGTATACTCCTGAGCCATTGTACTTGGTGAGAGTCTTTCTGAGCGTACACCTCGTGGGGCATCTTGAAGATTTTGTGTTTGTTTTGAGACCGGCAAAGCAATAATGAGAAAATCGGAAGAGGCCGAATGTTGCCGTTCATTTTTAAAAGATGCATGAGGAGAAAGGGTCGCATGTGAAAATGGCTGTGGAGGTGGAGACGAGGATTGAGGCTGAGAAAGGGGCGAAAGAGAAGTAGGCGTTGGAAGAAGTGGATCAGATTTCTGCCGAGAAACACTAAAACAGCAGCTGGAAGCGCAGTGAAGCTCTTCACTGGGGTGAATCGCCAGTCCGGTACTTTGATTCAACGTAGGACAGCTCTGTGAATGGAAAGAAGCGGATTCAAGAATAGAAACGGTACATAAGAATATGGTAGCATATTAACCAATTATCTTAAGGCTTTTGTTGAATAGGTGCTAGCTTTAGAAGTAATAAGTTTTACAGGCATAAATAAGTTTATATGAAGCAGGTTTCAATGAAGTGAAAGGCTCTAGCCTCTATAAAAGACTGAGTTTATATCATTAGTCAGGAGAAAATTTTAGAAACCATATTTATCCTGATAGATAAGAGTGAAACGGAAATGATTTAGTTTATAATTTTATCCTTCCCATTTTTCAATTGACCTCAAATTGTATAGCCTAAATGAAAAACCCGAGATGATGAGTGCTGCATGCATTTGGAACAAACAAAGTTTCACAATTTTGAGATAAACTACTTAGACTAGCTTCTTATTGGACTAGTCGCGAATTCACCAACTTTATACTAAAAATATACTCCGTTTTCTCAATTAATTTCATGTGGTAATACATATCGAAGCCTGGTTCTATCCAGGATAGGCGGCATTTTTTACCACGTTAAGGTATCATCAGTACACCCAATAATATTTGAATCGTGAACAAATGGGCTGAGAGTAAAATGTTTTCCCCGCTCAGTCATGTAATTCCAGCCCCATTGGGTTATACAACAATAAATAGGTATAAAGCAGAGCAAGTTTCTCTTAATTTACGTCATATTGTGAAAAACCTTTGTACTTAAAGTTAAACGTGAATTTGCCACTCAACTTGATAGAGTACCGATCTAGACCATCTTTACTAAGAGGCTTCAAATCAAAAGAATGTATTACTAATTGCTAAAAATAAGTAGCATATAAGTTCAATGAAAACTTTATGATTACCCATAAATAAATTTGCCACAAAACGACATAAATTGAGTTCTTTGCTTTCTGTTGAAAGGTATTGTCCCTCATTCAACTCATTAGGGATATGGTGATGGGGGTTAAGGAGTAGAACGATGGCCTCTCCAACCAAAGTCCATAGTTAAGACCTTGCTATCGTGCAGATGAGACCTAGATAAGGCTGAAATTGCAGTACACCATAGAGGCCTGACAAAGTGGAATTCGTTTCATAAATCAAGTGCTCTTTCTTATTTTTAGTGGGTAGATCCTCCATAAGCCCACCAAAATAACCAGCAAAAAATTTGTATACATTAAAAGCGATAAGACTTATGATAGCTTTGATAAATAAATAATATGTTACTTTTCAATTTTTCACAAATTATCGAAGATTTTTAAACCTTCCTTTACCAAAATATCTTGTCATAGATGCAATGGAAAATAGCAAATGAGAGCCAAAAAAATTAATGGACGCCCAAACACCTACTAAAATTCGAAACAGTTAATATGACTAGATCTAAAATAGAAATTTAAACTAATTCCAAAATATATGAAATTGAGCATTCGAATTATAGACACTAGAAGCAATCAAAAGAGCTGTCTAATCTAGAGCATAACAATTCGAGTAACTCTCTCCAAATGCACTATACAGATAAAAAAATAACTTTCGTTTAAAATGTCTTATTCATATAGCTTTAATAAGCAAAAGTGTTGTAAATTCTGAAAAAAAGCTATTATAAAACCCTACAAGTTATTAAGGATATGAAGACCAAGATGTTGTGGCCTCTGGTATGGTCCTTTCGATTTATAGGAGTGGGTTCACCTCGTTGTCACAACTTTGTCTTGTTGTGTAGTAGTAGAACGCACCTTGTCCAAAGTCGTCTGCCATAGTAGTTGTCATGATTCCCAGCATCAGAAAGTGGACTTGGTACATTCTCAGATGTTTCGCCGGCATCGTAGTCGGCATTATTATTTAGTTTGCCATTGTCTGCAACAAGCAACGAACTCGTCAAAGCGACAAGTGAAGTCAATCCCTCGACAAACATTCTGCCGAAAACGGTTGCAATAACACTTATCTTTCCGTCCTGGCCTATCCATCTACTCTTTACCCTCTTATCCCACTGCTGCCCTATCACAACTTCTGACTTGTTTATATTTCACTCGCCAAAATGTGTGCCCTTTTATGGCAAATATAGTGTGGCCCCATCACACCTGCTATTCATCCCTACCCCCTCGCTTTCAATCAACTGATCCGACTCGGGCCTACAATCCGGATCCCACTAATGGTCCCGTAGATCGTTCTGGTTGACCGATTTCACTCGGTTCCAGTCCCAGTGTGCGTTTCACTCCAGGCGATATTTCTCAAGGCCTTAGAAGCACGTACAGTGCCGCCTCACCGAGCAGAGCCCCTAGGCTCTGATTCACATACTTGAAACTATCAGGCCTTTCCTTCACGGGTCCTCTCCTTGATTAAACCCATGTTATCTGAGCAAATTTTTGACGCCTATTTCTGGTGCATGCGGCATCTCAAGTGGATTTCTAGTACATTTTGATCATAATGCCGAATTTCTGTGACTATTTGCTTATCTGTCTGATAGGGCGGCAGTGGGATAAGAGGGTAAAGAGTAAATAGATAGGCCAGGACAGCAAGAGGAGTGATAATGCAACCGTTTTCTGTAGAACGTTTTTCGAGGGATTGACTTCACTTGTCTCTTTGACGAGTTCTTAGCTTGGTGCAGAGAATGGCAAAACTCACAGATGATGCCGACTACCATGCCGGCAAAACTTTTGAGAATGTACCGAATCCACTGTCTGTTACTGGGAATTATGAAGACTACTATGACAGACGACTCCGGACAAGGTGCGTTCTATTAAGTCGCCCTGACAACAAGATCAAGTTGCGACAACGAGATCAACCTACTCCTACTAGTTATGTTTATTAAGCATGAATTGATCGAAGCCGGCGAGAATGTTGGATTCAATTATACAAGAAGTCATCTATAATATTCCATTTTGAGTGCAACTACAATTTCATATAAGTTTTTGAAGAAAAGTAGCTGAAATCTATGTTGTTTGATCTCATAATTAGTCATGGTCGTTACTAAGGGAGCGATAACCTGGGTTACGCATTAAAATACGAATGAATAGTCTATTGGAGTGAGTCTAAACAATTGAATAACGGCACTGAGTACATTTATATTTTGTTTTTTTTAACCTCCTTGTTCACAGAGCACTATGTTATCTTGAGAGTTAAATTCTAGTAGATAAACTGCTCGTAAATGGATCCAACAGGCAGAAATTAATTAAGAATATCTGGTCATTTGACTGTAGTCAGAATTGGCCCTTACTTATTTTCTTTGTGAATAAATTTGTGCGTTTACTTGCTACATACGTATCGTATTACTTGCGGAATTTTAGAAAATCATGGTTGATTATAACTACTAAACTTGGTTCGCTAAAAGAAATTCTTGCTTGTGGCTAGTCTAACTACATTCTCTTCAGATCTCGCATATGCATAAGAATGAGTGGATATGGATATTCCTCTCTGTAAGCTCTCATGAACTTTGTCCTTAGTTGGAATGGCTTTGGATGGTAGCAACCATATATTGTAAAAATCATATCTTTTTCACCAATTACCATGCAGTTTTATGTTGGCCCTGCAATAGTTTTCTGCGTATATTGTTGTAATGGTATGCTTTATCATCAAATAAGTGGTATTACATTAGGAAAAAATTGCTTTCGTTCATACGCATATAAGACTAAGCCTTGAAATCAAGTGCTTATATATTCTTTTAAAGTTATATGTAGCAATATTAAGTATTTAATTTATAAAGCCTGATAATATGGGAATAAAGCATAAGCGACAAATATTGTAAAATAAGCTATAACATCAGGGTAGTGGCTGCATCGCAAAAACAAGATGAAATACTAAGTAGTAAATGCTATTTTTTGGTGTGTAAACTACCAGTATGCCTTATTATATAGAAAAGGGAGACTAGTGACCAGTGTTATACTAGATTAACAAATTTGACATACATTAGCTATAAATCTAAATCATTAAAAGAGATGGGAGCGATTTCGAAAAGAGTAAGGAGAAGCAAATCGCATGAATTGCTCTATTCCAAAGACATGAAATCAAATAAAGTGATGAAGATCATGGGGTGGAGATAAAAAATATTAGCAGTAGTATAACGGTTATGGATCATCAGAGTTCATCTATGGGAAAGATATGCCACCCAGTCGAATCATATACTTTGGTCAATAAAACTTGTATGATAGTAGTAGAGAACATGAAGAAATGCAAACTGATTTAACTTAACCATGTGAATATAAAAGAAATGTATTCACCCTATTTCATCTAAGGTGATGAATGACTGGTAGTAGAATTTTCACAGTATGATATGAGTTGAGCTGACGTTTCCATTGAATTTCACATAACCTTGCTTTCCCAAAAGTTGTTCTGATCAATGGTGGACTGCAGTTTCGACCTCGCATAGGTCTTATCAACACCCTCAGCGGGAGTCGAACAGTGACAGAACAGGATGAGAGCTTGACACGTTAACCACTCGGCTACACTGCCACGAGCGCCTTTTGGGTGGTCTCGAAACTTTACTCTCATACGATTATAAA